TGGATCAATCAAGATCAACGGCTTGGATCTGAAGGTTTAGAAGAGACGGTGTCGTTTCATCTAAACGGGGTTTGGGTTGGTCTGGGTGGAACGGGTCGGGTTTTGTTCGTGGGTATGGGAAATGTGATCTTGGCCGTTGATCAATCTGAGATCAACGGCCCAGATCAGGCTGGATTAAAACGGCGTCGTTTGGACACCCTGGGTATCAACTTGGACTGGACCGGGCAGGCCTGGTTTTGGGCATTGTTTGTTTGGGCCAATTTTAACAAATTGGCCCAAGTCCGAAAAAGGAAGGGCTTTCTTTTTTATTATTTCCTTTTCTTCTTTATTTTTTTAAAAAACAAACAAACAAAACTAAGTAAAATCAAATTAAAATTAAATAAACACTTAATACAATTATTTGCACACACATTAAAATAATTCAAAACGGGTAAAAATCAAACAAAAAAAAATCACGGNTGTTACGGTTCAGATTACGCATGACACGTGCATTTTTTGTATTTTGTTTTAATAAAGTAAAAATGGGCAAAAATCATAAATAATTAACAAAGTGCCATGTAAGAATCCAAAAATTGTACAATAGGATCAATTGTTATTACTTTTTTTATTTCTTTTGGAGCGATTGTCGCGCGAAACAAAAATCACGTGCTCACGGGCGTATTTTTCGGGTTTTGAACAGTGTTTTCGCTCACATTTATCTTTACATGAAAAATGACTAAATTTCGATTACTTTTAAAATTGGGCTATTTTTGAACGACCTAAATCCGACTATTTTTGAATTTCATGCCTTCCTTAGCTAGCCAATAATGTTACATAGAATACTAACAATAACTCTAGAAACTAGAAATAAAGTTGAAGAATAAATTGCATATTTTCTACTTAATCTTGGACATCTTTATGTTAAAGGCTCATGCATGGAGAAAAACTTACTCTCCCATCTACACTTTTTTTGTATTTATTTTATTTGGATTAAATTTATAGTATCAATTCAATCTATATATATATATATATATTAAAGCAAGAAAGTTTGCATTGTGGTTAAGCCAAGTGGCAAGCTACTGTAAAGCCACTTGGCAATCTTAAAGAGTTTGTAGGAGATTGTCAAATAAGGAAATATCACTTAAGAACTATATATGGAATTCCATTTATTGAAATTAAATTGAGATAAAAAAAATTCTAAAAATAAAGTTCAATCATTGTACTAATATTTTCTAACTGAATTTTTTTATTTGGAGAGTAAAATTTTTTGATATCAATAGTATTTGGATTCCTTTTCTAATATCGAGTGAGAAGAATATATCCTACCGTAATCTAATGTGCAATTCTAATTTATTTTAAAAATTCAATACTTTTTAATGAGTTGAAGAATATATTTTAAGGTTTTAACCTAAAGTTCAGAATGTAGATATATTGAATAATTTATTTATTTCATAATGGATAATGCAAAGTATCTATTTTAGACTAAGTTTTCTGAATTTTAAAGAAGTATATAATAAAAATAATTTTTTTAAAGGCTAAAAGCTTCAACAAAAATAATAATTACTAGAAGGCTCAACAAGTGAGGAAAATTGTTCTAAATAATGAGAAAGAGGTTTTTGAAATTTGAGTTCACAACAAAAACAACAGAAAAAATAAAAACGTGTTTGTTATTAGAAATAGGACTAAAATCTCTCTCTCTCTCTCTCTCTCTATATATATATATATATATTTATNGACTATTTTAGTCAAATACAAATATAATATAATATAATATATATGTACGGAATTTGAATTTATAGATAAATTTCTAATTTCGAATTTAAATTAAAAATAAAAGTTATCTTTTTTTATTCATATGCAATCACATTTGGAATTTTTGTTATTTTTTCTAATTATTTAAATACTACTTCGCCTCTAGCAAAAAAAAAATTAATCCATATAACTATAAAACTCTTTCCCATTTAAAATCCTATAAGTATAGTTCTTTGAAACACTGTAGCTAGATTTAAATAAAAAGAAATTCTTTTAAAATAAATATAATATATAGGGTACACATCTATGTTTATCTAAATAACAAAAAAAAATTTACAAAACCAAATAAAAGTTTACTTACATATATAATAAAGTAAACATACATGTTGGAGAAAGAAACATCACAAAATCAGTCAATATTAAAAAAAATTATTTCTTTTTTCTTCTTGAAGAATATTTGTTTGAAGAGTCAATTTGCATAAATGGACATCAAACAAATAACAAAACTTTGGCTATACAATTGCTATCATTAATTTCAATTTAGCACATTCAAGGAATTGAAGGATATAAGCTAAAACCCCTTCATTTAACTGTGGTCAGGCTGATATTGCAAGGGTATAATATTTTTTTTTCGTTGAAGAATATTAGTTTTGAATCATTAGATTATGTGAAAGGTTTTTTTTCAAACTCAACAAGAGAGAAATTGGTTTCTAATTGATAGTTTCTATAGCGATTTTTAGTGTAACAAGGAGTATATATAAAGAAAAAATTGGTATGACGTGAAATATTTTTTTTTAAATGTAAATAAATTATTTTGAAAAAACTCTTTACTTTTTTTAATTCAAAGATAATAAAAGATAAGATATTTTTGAACATTAGTAGAGAGTTTTAAAGTTATTATAATAGAAGTTACATCATAGATAAACTCAAAAACCAAAATTTTATGGAATATTTACATAATATCCGGCCATATTTATTGTTTACTCTTTTATAGCTAATATAACTAAATGATATACCGATAACATATGATTATACACATATTATATATGGATTATATATAAATTACACATCATTAATATTTTAAATTAAGTCGTCGGGTGAGCACCTATTTAGGCTGATTGGATAAAGCCAAAAGAAAAATATGAAATAATTTCAACCAAGACTAAAAATATAATTAAAGTTCATATGTAGACAATTTTTATTAAAACTCATCCTTTTATAGTGAAATAAATTAATTTTTTGTAACAAAAGAAATAATGACATAAAAATAAGATAAAAGAAAATAAATATTGAAAAAAAATGTTAGAAAGATCTAAAAACGAGAAATAAAATATGACAGCAAATTTCTTCTTATGTTTCATCTTTGTTGAGTATAAAAATTTGAAAGTTAATCTCATCGATTTCAAATATTTGTTTTTCAACTCAAATATATAGATTATAAGATAAAGATATCTTGGAATATTTTTTTAATTTACATTATGTGTTGTTTTTAAAAAATCACTATTACTAATAAACTGATATGATATTCAAATTTGAATCGGAATACAATTTGAGTAGTTGCACTGAGGTTAAGCCAAGTATGATGTCGAAAAATAAACTACTTGACAATTTTAAGACAATATATGTAATGTTTTATAATAATAATCAACTAATTTAACATTTAATGATTCAAAGAATTTTTTTTATATATAGGATATTAAAAATTCAAATTTTGGGGCTAGAGATATCGATAAACTTAAAGTGGAGTCATACTAAAATAAGTCCGGCCAAAAAATTATTTTAATTTTTAGATAGCCGATTAAAGTGAATTTTAAATTAAAGATAATATCTTCACTTGAATCATTATAAAGATAATCATTATTATAATATATATAAAGTTTTAGAAATTGAAATTTCAAAATAAAAATATTTTTTAAAAGATAAAATCATACCAAATAAGAGTTCAAATCGTAGTATAAGAGTCACGTCTAATCAAAGAATCGTTTATATCGTGTCAACCTTTCTGATTTGCCATAAATATGAGTTATTACTTCACTTTGTGGCTATTTTTAGGTTCCAATGACACCTATAAGAATAGTGCAAAATAAAATTATCACTAAGAGAATTGAGAAAATATTAGTCTTTTTTCATGTAGTGTTTCTTAATTAATATCTGACGAGTATCTATAATTAGTTAGAAGGTTTAAATGTTAAAGTTATTTACATATAATTCAAATAACTCATATATTTAACATGGTTAATGTCAAATATCAAAATGGAGTAAAAACAATTCACTAGCTAAAGAATTTTATATATTTTTAGATAGTCAACTAGAATGAGTTTTGAATTAAGAATAATATTTTCAATTACATTATTACAAAAATAATTATTATTGAAAAATAATATTTTAGAAACTGAAATTTTAAGAAAGAAATATTTTTTAAGAGATATCAACACACCAAATAAGAGTTCAAGTAGTAGTAAAAGAGTTAAGCCTTATCCAAAGAGTCATCCATTGTCTCAACATTTGATTGTTTTGCCACAAATATGAGTAATTATTTTGCTTCCTGACTATTTTTAGGATCCAATGACACCGACAAGAATGATACCAAAAAAGAAAAATAGAAGAAACAATTAATTTTTTCATGTAGTTAATATCCAATAATTATCTATATTTACTGAGAGAGTGTAAATTTCAAGATTATTTACATACAATCCAAATAACTCAAATATTTGACATGATTAGTGTCCACGCATCTGCGCGGGTACTAATACTAGTAATACCTAAAAGAGAAACAGACCCAATAATAATTTGGGGAGTTCGAAAGAAATTTTTACTTATACTTCTATGAAAGCACAATTTTAGGGTAAAATTCCAAAATAGTCAAATTTAGAAGTGGTAATTGAAAAATAGCCAGAGTTTCAAAAGTAATCGAAATTTAGCCATTTTTTATATAAAGATAAATCTGAACGAAAATACTGTTCAAAATCCGAAAAATATTCCAGCATAATATACTGGAGTTCAACATAATATGTTGGAAGTTCATACACAAGTGCTCCAATATCCAGTATAAGCATAATGGCTTCCTGTCCACTTAAACTTGTAGGGCTTTTGAAAGCCGATGCATGAACTTTGAATTTTCCCATTTGAACACCTCTACTTGAAAAAATGTCTACTAATAAACACCTTTGATCGTTGACTATGCTTATGTGACAATATTATATCTGATAAAACGAGAATAATTTTTTATAGTAGAAAGCATACATGTTATTTTACAATACAACACGGTATTGAACCACATCAAACAATACATTTTATTTAAACATTGTATTCACAAAACAATACTGTAAAACATAATACACTACAAAAATACATTATGAAACAATGTGAAATAACAACCCACACATAGTGTTAAATCGTGAGTAACAGACTACTAACTCATCCATTGTTGGTGGGACTGTCATCAAATGAAGTGAGCCCATGGAGAGGCGAGGTAGGTAAGGACTTGGCCATGATTTGACTACTTCGGTTTGATAGAACTGATGTGGATGCTTTTCTTGCATGCACAACCTTTTCATTTGTCTTGATAATAAGGAGGAACACCAGACGGTACAAAATTAATGTACCTACTAGAATGGCAAGATCTACCCACTTTGAGTATGCCATTTCTACTTGCCATCTTTCTCTCAAGATGTCTTCTCCACTCATTGTCCGATTGTTTCCGAATTGATCATCTGTAAACTTTAGCCCTTCAAATTCATTCTTAAACATACCTTGATAAGCATACTTGTGGAAGGACATGTAGTACAGTGGGTACTTCCAAATAGGATTAGGCAACTCACTAGGTAATTGAAAATAACCCCCACTTAATATCTGTAGTCCTTGTATTCCTGCACCTATTACAATGCCCATGAGGAAATTAGGCACGATAGCTGCAACGTTCATCATTAGACTCTCGACTATCATCATACTGGTAAAGAGGACCAAGGCAAAGTAGATGAAATGCCCAGATCCATTCTGAAATCCAGAAAGCAAATAGGCAATGGCACCTGGAACAAATGATATTAGTAGCACGTATGGTATAGAAGAAAGTGTGTTGCCTATGACAAAAGTACAACATCCATAGTGCCCGTTCAAGTTTTCCCGTTGAAATACCTACAATATTTTCTCGAAGCAGTTAAATTAATTAGTCATGATACAAAATAAATCATAGCATTTGTTAGTTATTTTGGATGAGAAAAAGATACCTTCATGTCCTCTACAAATGAAGGAAATCCGCCAACTGTCATAAATGTCATAAATGAAACAACGAAAGCAACCATTAGACCTCTTTCCTGCAAAATCAATTTTTTAGATTGTATTATGATCCATAAATTGTGTGCACTCAAAAAATACTGAAACACTGAAGAAATAAGAAAGTTTGAAACTTTTTGCTGATTCCTTATCTGTACAGTCTATATACCTCGATTGAATGATAGTTTGAGCCAAGATCATAGTAGATGGAACCAAGACCTAAAGCAATGCCGACATAAGTGGCGAATCTCATCCAATAGTAGCCAAGATCACGAAACATGTTCACACTTGACCTCCTTGTCAAAACAAGGCTTTGCGTGGTGAAGTTGGCATGACTTCTTTTTTCCAATATTTCACCACCCTGAAAATATATAATGGATGTTAGAGAGATTCCTTCTCATCACCCTGCAAGCAATCCTCCTCCATCCTTTCCGTTTTGGGGGTTCTCTCTTACCTGTTGACAAATTTCTGCAACCTGGTTCTGAACTTCATGATATTCCTTGGATAATTTAAATGAATTTACGAGAAGGTCTATCACTTCTTCTGTATTAGGTTTTCTTCCATCTAAGCCTTGTTCAATATCCTTTTAATAGAAAGCAAGATATTCAATAAAAGGCAAAGTTTGGTCTCAATCTCTTCGAAAAAGGAAACAATAGTTACCTCATCAAAGTCCTTGTTTACTGTTTTAAGAAAATGATCTGATGGATTCTGAAGATGTGGGCAAGGGAAACCATTTCTCGCAAAAAACTATCATAATAAAAGAAGTTTTAATAAACATATAATCCAATCAAATCATTACATATATATACTTGTATTATGTGTCTGTTACTTGACTAGTTAATAATCCAATAATTCATGTGCTTACCTGAATTGCTGCACTAGCAGGTCCAAAATATACTATTTTTCCGGAAGACAAAAGACATAAACTGTGGAAGAGGTTGAAAACTTCTGCACTGGGCTGATGAATAGACGCAATAATGGTTCTTCCCTCTTTTTGGCGTGAAATTCCGCTCATCACATAATAAGATGCAGCACTATCGAGGCCACTGGTTGGTTCATCGAGGAAGAGAAGTTTTGGTCGCGTTAGAATCTCCATGCAAATACTAAGTCTCCTCTTTTCTCCTCCGCTAATTCCTTTAGTGCCCCATCCTCCAATTCTTGTGTTCATTGCATCTTGTAGCCCCATCTCCTTTATAGTCTGCTCCGCTATTTGAATTTTCTCTGATTTTTTCATAGAATTTGGCAGTTGGAGTTGTGCAGAGTAGTAAACAGCTTCTTTAACAGTTAGTGTTGCCAGCAGAGTTTCATCTTGAGTCAGGTATGCCTGATTTTATAGGGATAGAACACATTACCATGCATGCTAATAAAAATATAATACTTTACTTAGGGAGAAGTAAAAGAGATGTTATTGCGAAAAAGGAAAACAAAATAAGTAGTGATGCGGGCCAGGCGGCATTCAGTGAAGATTCTCTTACACATGTTCCATAAGAAAGTTTCTGTTTGTGACCATTGATCAGAATATCCCCGCTCTGCCTCGTGCTGAAGTCCAGTCGCCCTGAGAACACAGCTGGTGAGTCATACTTAGAAATAAAACTATCTCATGAGCATTATTTAACAAACTATCCCCCTATTGGCCTTTGCTGTTAGTTTTGGCCCCATTAAAGATACTATATGCATCATATGCTAAGAGATATACTAATAATATTTGCTCCTACCAGCTAATGCGTCGAGTAATGTAGATTTGCCACAGCCAGAAGGACCCATGACGGCCAAGAGCTCACTAGGACGAGCATAACCAGTGAGACCTTGAAGTATGGCTTTTCTGCCACTTTTTCTAGTGGAGACAGTAACCCATAAGTCATTCCAAGTCAAGGAAACGCCTCTAGTTTTTGATCCCATTTGGCCCTTAACAGCATTCAATTTTACTTCCTGCTTTCCAATTCTAGTTTCATACTCCATTGGTGGCATTTCCAAATTTACAGAACCCATAGTTGCATGCCCAGAAAAAGGAACGGAAAGCCAATAGTGGTTTTGCTTTCTTATTCTTGCAAAAAGCGTGGGGTATTTAAGGACTTTGTAGGGTGAGACACTACTTTGTCAACTGTTGGGCAGCTATGGCATTAATTAGATGTGTCAAAATAGCCCAGTTATAATGGACAGTTCAGGTAACACATTTATGCTTCTCTTTGTACGGTTGCAGTTTCAACTTTTAATTAATGTCTAGTTTCGCTCTTCTTATCCTCACCTCCAACTCTCAAGCATTCCTCTGCGTTAGCAAACAGACTTGTTATCGTTTGGACAAGTTGAAATTAGAAAACGAAACCAGTTGAAGCTAAAGCTGGAAAAAATTGTGGGAGTTGATCTAGCGTTCGTATAACTGTAGTTTCTTAATGAAAATAGATTATATGAATTGAAGAAATGTGAGTGGAAGTTAAAGATTAATTTGAAATACTTGACATGGATATATATTTTGTTTATTACGTGCTAAAATCTCTTTATTTGCAAGTCAAGGCCACAAGGAGGTTAGCAAAAGTACCCCTTCCGTTTTGTATCGGCAATCTTACGTAAATGTCCCAAATAAGTTACTCATTTACTAACCTCTAGCCATTAGTTATAACACATATAAAAATTAAAAATTCAAATAAATAAGGTTCTTTCTCTCCAAGAATCACACACAAAAATCTCCTTTCATATTTTAAGCATGACCAATAATATTAGATGCAAGACGGAAAGGAAATTTCATGGACGAGAGGTAGCAAATAAGATTATAAAATACAAGAAAATGTATATATATACAAGATTCCAAAAGTTTAAGGGAAAAAAAGGATATTTTTCAATGGGTATGGTTGAAATTTATTGAAAACATATTGTCACACCTCCTTTTTTGCGCGCCCGCCCCCGAAGGGTTAAATGCGCGAGGGAGTTTTTCCAATTTAAGTGACAATATTCGAAATGGGATTATTTATTTAATTCAGAGTCGCCACTTGGGAAAGGTTTGGCTTTTGGTGTCCCAAGTCACCGGTTTATCTTGAATCCCAAATCGAGGAAATTTTCGACTTTTCCAAATGAAGTCTGCGAACCAGAAATTCTAAGTAAGGAATTCTGTTGACCCGAGGGAAGGTGTTAGGCACCCTCGAATCCCGTGGTTCTAGCACGGTCGCTTAAATTGTTATAATGGCTAAATATCTGATTTAAATACATGTTGTGACTTATGTGCTTTTATTAAGTTTAAAACCGCTTTTATTATTATTATAGAATTGCAACGTCGTGAAAATGCATCTCGAACCACGTCACAATCAATGCACCCGTGGTCGTCGACACATTTTGACTCCGTTGAGATTTGGATTTGGGTCACATCAATGTGCACCCGTGTTTAAGAAGGTTAAATTATTAAAAGGTGCGCCTAAAGCAACTAGCGTATTGTTATTTTGGGAAGGCCGTAAAATTCGCTAAACGGCCTGTCCCGAATTCTAAGTATTTTAATATATACATTTAGAGGGCCCCGCAGCTTGTGCATTTTTGTTTGTCGAGGCTCGTCTCAATTTTATTTAAGAGGATAAACCTATAGTGACTACATTTCTATCGTGTTCGTCTCTAATAAAATGAAAGAAAGAGGATTGCGTGCTAATTACATGCTTGACCAACTTCGGATTCTTATTTGATTATCTGATTAGTTGTTTATGAGGCGTGAATTGTTTTGTGCCTTATTTCATGGATGAACATGTTGTTAAATTGTCAGGGGAAATTAATATACAAGATCAATAGAACTGCTAAAAGCTTATGATAAATGTTCTTCAGATCCGAGTTTGAAACTCGCTTATTTAAACCAGGTCAGTGGAATTAACTTATCGGAAACTATTACTAATAGAGTTTGAACAGGATCATGTGAACTGCCTAAAAAGATCCAATAAAACTACATCATATCTGGCAAGATTAAGGCATTCTGTTCTATACATGCAGAATATTAGTCGAAAGATTATCTAATTATCCGTGTGCCAAAACACTCATACATTCCTTATCAGACAACCCACTAAACAACTGAAATCACATTTTAAGACGAACTAAGCTGCAATTAAGTACAAGGCTACCTAATGTGTTTCTTTATTGAATTACAAACTAAACAAGTTACANNTAAACCAACCAATAAACTTAGCTGATACTTGAAAGAAAACAGAACTGACTGAACAGGTTAAACAGACTGAGAATCGAATAAACAGCAGGAAGAAAACAGTTTCTGATTTCTGTATGTTTTTCTCTCTCGTATGTGTGTCTGTATAAGCCCCTCTATTTTTCTCTCACTATCTCTTTTCTTTTCAAAATCCAGTGCCAATTTTCAGTTTTGAAATCTACTTGAGTTATCAAGAAGAATTCTTTTCCAGTTTTCTGTTTTTCAGAACTCAGCTCTCAATGTTCAATCTGAGTTCCCTCTGTGTATCTGTGTCTGTGTGCCCCCTGTCTATGTTTTCTTCCCCCTCTTATAAGCCTAAAACTCAGCCTTTTAACAGCCTGTTCATCAATCAGAAAACCCCTCTCATGTGCTGTCTTCTTTTCAGTTTCCACTTACTATTTAAATAAAAACACCCCCATGATATTCCCTTGCAGACTTACCTTTCAAGTAAGGTTTATTATTTCTGAACTAAAGCAGAATATGGGCAGCAGAATATAATATGACAGCATATGCTGTCAAACTATTTTAAACTTAACAGAGGCCTTTATGCACATGTTGTGCACAAGTGCACATGTTGTGCACAAGTGCACATGTTGTGCACAAGTGCACATGCCCTCCAATTCTGACTACAACTAAACAAAACCAATCCTTTTATATTTCTGATTCAAATACATCAATTATAAGTAGCTATAGTTGATTCTCAATTTGATTCAAACAATGTTCAATAAGACAAATCAAACTGTTACCATTCANTGAAAGGTAGGGGGTGTTTGGATGGGGCTTGGGGTATGGTTATAGGCTTATATAGTTAGTGAGGGGTCGATTCCTGGCCGTTGGATGGGGTGAGATGAAGGGTCAGGAT